AGTAACTTGGAGCTCGAGGTCCACGGCACGCCAGGGTCTCAGGTACAACTCTTCGGCAGTCAGCTCGCTGGATCTTCAGGGTCCGGCATCCGGAGTGCTCCACTCGAAATCATCGGCATTCGGGATTCTGGGTCGTCCTTCAGGGTATTCACCACTCGCTCGTTCTGGGCGTTGCGTCATTCGGGGCATCCGTCCATGTTTCAGGGCACTTGGGTCACTATTGTCCTGGGCGTTCATCACTTGGTCAGCATTCGGAGTTCCAAGGTGTCTTCTACGTTGTCCGTCCGGGGTTGGCTTTATTCCTTCATCATCAGCTCCATTCCAAGTTCTTCTCTCAAGTCTTGGTCCATGGCTGCTCTGGATCACCAACCGGGAAACTTCTCGCCCTTCGTCTTTGTCCTTGCAGTCATCCAGGGTGGCTCGGCTCTCGTCGCTCTGGATATCACCTCTCTAGCCAGTCGCAACACTTCGTTGTGGGTCCCCTGTCGCCCTGGGTGCCCATCCAAATTTTCTTTCAGGCGCAACGTGTCATAGCTATCAAGCAGCCAATTCTTCACTTGCCGGTAGTACGACATCACTGTATTTCTAGCTAGCGGCTTTCTAGGAAGGCCAGGTGAACAGCAAAGCGGTCCATAAGCTTGATGAAGACATTGCCGTTGTCATCACGAGCGAGTGTAGACGCAACGAATCCCATCGTAACCCCTTCGCAAGCTAGATAGCGATGAAACTCGTTAATTGCTGTCTGCTTCGCGCGTTGAGAGTTTACTGGGGCGAGATCTTGAAGGCTCATTATCTGCTCCTCGTGTTGCTTGTTCAAGATGCCTTGAATGTGTTAGTGAGGAAATTTATACATTGTTGCAGTCGGACGTCGGCAAATGACTGGATATGAATGATGTCACATTTTAACTGTAGTTTTCAATACTAGTTGATCATATTTTTAATGGCATACCGACAGAATGCGTCGGCAAGTTGTCGGTTAGTAGTTACCCTACCCTAACGGATTTTATTGGCTAAAATATCTTTTATGTTGGTTTTAATTGGTAGATAGCACAAATGTCGTATTTATGTGGGCCCATTTGGTATACTTTAATGCAGTATATTTTCACTGTCGGCACGGTGACGATATTCATCCATATTCGAAAAGCGCGAGTCCCTATTGTGAGACCAAGAGTAAACTAGATACTTATATTCATATGGATAATTTCAATTTTTTATGCCTGTGTGTCTTTGGAGTTAGCATTGAGCGCGCAAAGTGGAAGGCATTTATTTTCCACTTTTCTAAACTGGCGTACGTCCTCACCTCGTGGATAGTGGCGCCTGTGTTGATCTTTTGACCCTAGCAATAGCTCGTTTACTCGAGGCGACCTGAGTACCATGGTGTATTGCTTTATCAGATAGAGAACTTCTCCACCGGTCTAATCTGGTAGGAAAGGTTTTACTGCTCAACCTTGTGACTTTACATATAACAACGGGTTAATGGACATCCTTCCCACCTGTATAAGCCTTTCAGAGAGAAAAAAACGATCAATACTGTCTAGCGAGATCCAAAAGTCAATTGAAATTGCAGTGACTGCATTCAAAGTGTCCAAACAACCGTCGTGTGTTTCTCATTCGCTGTGAAACTAGAGTTGAAATGGCAATTATCCTGGCAATTTTCCATGAAACCCTCCGAATAGTGGCCCCTACTAGTCAAGATCCGATCCGCAAACTTGCTTTCACTATGCTTATAAGCTCAACATCAGTAATCCGCAATATCCTCATGCCGGCGCTCCTGTGCCAGCCAAGCGAGTCTCCCCTGGTCGCAGATCTATCACTAGCCAAGCAGCCAGCCGCATAGTAACAACCTACCTTTAGACCATGGGCATCACCTTCGACAACCTGGACCAGGACGCTGGCCTGAAGAAGCTTAACGGCTTCCTGACGAACCGCAGCTACATTGAGGGCTACAAGTTCAGCTCGGCCGATGCCGATCTGTTCCACAAGTTCTCGGCCGTGCCCGATGCTGCCAAGTTCGCCAACGTGTACCGCTGGTACGTGCACATTGCCGCTAAGCTTGGCCTGCGCGCCATCCTGGTGACCAAGAAGGCCGCTGCTGCCCCCAAGGCTGCTGCCGCCCCTAAGAAGGCCGCCAAGGAGGAGGAGGACGAGGAAGACGATGACGACGACCTGTTCGGCGATGACGACGACGAGGAGGACGACGAGGCCGCCAAGGCTCTGGCTGCTAAGCGCGCTGAGGCCGCTAAGGCCGCCAAGAAGGAGAAGAAGAAACCCGTGGAGCGCTCGCAGGTTGTGATCGAGGTGAAGCCCTGGGAGGCCGAGACGGACCTCGAGGAGCTGGCTGCTAAGATCAAGGCTCTCCCCGTGGAGGGTCTGACGTGGGGTGAGGGCCACAAGCTGGTGCCGGTTGCTTTCGGCATCAAGAAGCTGCTTGTGCAGTGCGTCATCATCGACGACCTGGTGCTGCTTGACGACATCACGGATGCCATTGAGGGCTTCGAGGACTACGTGCAGTCGGTGGACGTTGCCTCCATGAACAAGCTGTAAGCGGACAGACCAGATCTTTTTAGGTAGGTTGTCTCTTCCAGGTACTAGCCGAGTTTCAAAGCTTGCCACAGCTGTGCTTTCTTAGCTGCTTGTGGCTGAGCTTCTTGTGCTACGAGTAGAAATTAACACAACAAAAACAGCAGAAAAACAAGATATGCAACGAGCTTCTCCTTCGGCGCAGCGACGCTTGCTCGCTCTTGTGCTGTCTGCGCTGTGATGGCTTCGGTTAAGTGTCTGCGTGAGAAATCTTTAATCGGTTGTGGACGGTTTAGTATTGTGAACAATTAGACTGTGACAAGTGCTGTAGGATATCCAAAGCTGATTGCAAAGCAGATTCATTACGTCAGCGTCCGAATCGTGACGAGGACGTTTACGAGTTCGTGGTGAGCAGGGCACGTTGAAGTGAAGAGGGTTGTTCCAAGCAGAAAAAGATCCTCCTGTTCCTGTTCGCAGAGTTCGAGGATGCGTTGTGTTTATGGGCCACTATCGCCGTAGTCAGTGGTGCTGACCTCATCACGGAATCAGCTACGGGTTGCGGCAGCCTCGGATGCCGCCGGTGGCTTGATGACAATTTCACTGCTAGAAGTTCATTCCGCATTTCGCGCTGTAGCACACACTCGCCCTCTTCATCTCCACTGCCTCAGTTCATCATGACGATCGCCGAAATTGACCACTCCAACCCCATCACTCTCAACCGATTCATTCTTGACGAGAAGGAGATCCAAGGCAATGCCGATCTGAGCGTGCTGTTCTCGTCGATCGAGCTGGCATGCAAGGTCATCGCTAGTTCGGTGCGCCGCGCCGGTCTGACGGGGCTGTACGGTCTGGATGGCTCCGAGAACGCCACGGGCGATCAAGTGAAGAAGCTGGATGTCCTCGCCAATAAGGTCTTCATTAACTCATTGAAGGTGTGTAGACAAGTGCCGGTGATCTCGTTGTCGAATAGTGCTGACCTGTGATCGCTTCCAGTTCTCGACCAAGATCGAAGTCATGGTATCTGAAGAGGAAGTCGAGCCTGTTTGTGTGGAGAATGACTCCAGTGGGAGTAAGTATCACTGTGGTAAATCCTCTGTCGTAAGTTAAGCTGACTTTGCGTGGTGTTAGCCAAGTACTGCATCGCCTTCGATCCTCTTGATGGCTCCTCCAACATCGACTGCAACGTCTCGACAGGCACAATCTTCGGCATTTACCACCGCGAGGCAACACTACATGGCGGGTACGGCGATCTATTGGGTGCAAGTGTTCATATTAAATGGCTAACTTTCGTGTGTAGTTTCAAGGATATCCTCCAGCCTGGAAACCAGCTTGTTGCGGCGGGCTACTGCATGTACGGAAGCTCCACTCAGCTGGTACTGACGTGGGGCAAGGGCGTTCACTGCTTCACGCTTGACCCGACGATCGGAGCATTCATTTTGTCACACAAGGACATGCGGATCCCCGAAAACCCAAAAACGGTAAGCGCGCACCATACCAATCCGTGGTTCACTCAATGCTCTGTTAACGACCTACTTCGTTTCCAACCGCAGATTTACTCGTGCAACGAAGGCAACTACGCCCACTGGGACCGGCCCAGCAAGGCCTTCGTGGATGAATGCAAGAACAAGCCCACCCCGTACAACGCTCGCTATGTCGGCAGCATGGTGTCTGACATCCACCGTACCATCCTGTACGGCGGTATCTACATGTACCCTGGCAGCGATAAGGTACGTATCATCAAATTCCGTCCCAGCGCCGTCGATTCGATCGTTAACCTTCTTGATCCTTGCTGTAATTCTTCAGAGCAAGGATGGCAAGCTGCGTCTACTGTACGAGGGCAATCCAATGTCCTTTATCATGGAGCAGGCTGGCGGCGCGTCCACGACCGGAACAGAGCGCGTGCTCGACTTGTGCCCCGTACGTTGCTCGTCGCCAGTGAATTGGTGCAACACATCAACACGAATTTTATACAAGTACTAACCTTTAACCGCTTGGTCTTGTGCCTTGGCAGACTCACATCCACCAGCGCTCGCCGATCTTCCTGGGCTGCAAGCGCGACGTGCAGCGCGTTATCGAGCTGTACAAGCAGTACGGCGAGAAGTAAGCAAGCAAAGTAGTGACTCGAACGTAGTGTCACGAAGCGTAAGATCTCAATTGACAACTGGTCAGCCACGTACTTGGTCGTTAAAAAAAGGACACAATCCTGATCTCACGCTTCAATTCGGCATATTCTCCTATTTTCAGCTTAATCCAGGCATATCCTAGTAACTTCATGACAAGGCCGACGTCGACAGTCTCACTTCATTCGCCACCTGCTTCAACTGCGGCCGCCGCTTGGGATCCATCATAGCATTCGCGAATCTTCTCCGTCCGTCGCACTCCTCACTAGCATCATGGCCAACCAGGTGGACCACTCGAACCCCATCACGCTCTCGCGCTTCATCTTGGCCGAGAAGGAGATCCAGGGCAACGCCGACCTGAGCGTGCTCTTCACGTCCATCGAGCTGGCGTGCAAGGTCATTGCCAGCTCGGTGCGTCGTGCAGGTCTCACGGGCCTCTACGGTCTTGACGGCTCGGAGAACTCGACCGGAGACCAGGTGAAGAAGCTGGACGTGTTGGCCAACGACATTTTCGTCAACTCGCTCAAATTCTCGACCAAGATCGAGGTCATGGTCTCCGAGGAGGAGGAGAAGCCCATCGTCGTGCAGAACGACTCCAGCGGTACAAAGTACTGCATCGCCTTCGACCCGCTTGATGGATCTTCCAACATTGACTGCAACGTGTCCACGGGTACCATCTTCGCCATCTACCAGCGCGACGCCACGTCCGAGGGAGGGTGAGTAAATGCTGCAGAAAGTATTAAGTATCACTAGGATAAAGCATTCACTATTGTGATATTCTACAGTTACAAGGACATTCTGCAGCCCGGCAGCAAGCTGGTGTCGGCCGGCTACTGCATGTACGGTAGCTCTACGCAGCTAGTGCTGACGTGGGGCAAGGGCGTGCACTGCTTCACGCTGGACCCGACGATTGGAGCCTTCATTCTTTCCCATCAGGACATCCGCATCCCGGAGGAGCCCAAGGCCATTTACTCGTGCAATGAGGGCAACTACGCTCAGTGGGACAGTGCCACTAAGGCCTTTGTGGACGAGTGCAAGACCGGACCCAAGGCGTACGCGGCGCGTTACGTCGGTAGTATGGTGTCGGATATCCACCGTACCATCCTGTACGGCGGCATCTACTTGTACCCGGGCAGCACGAAGGCCAAGGACGGTAAGCTGCGTCTGCTGTACGAGTGCAACCCCATGTCGTTCATCATGGAACAGGCTGGCGGCATGTCGACCACTGGCACGCAGCGGACCCTCGACCTCGTCCCGACGGACATCCACCAGCGCTCGCCAATCTTCCTCGGCTGCAAGCGCGATGTCGAGCGGGTCATCGCGCTGTACAAGGAGCACAACTAAGCGTAAGCCATCGATTGAAAACTTTAACGTGGTAGTCTGCATTGTCAAGGCATTTATCTAGCGTTCACGAGTGTTACATGTCAGCGACTGCGTACTTGTATGCCTCCTCGCTGACTGCATTGTTGGCATTCTGTCGCATCATGATCTTTTCCTCCCAGTTCGTACCGCGCACAACGCCATCCCAACGATAGCCTGGCTGGATTCCAAAGCGGTTGGGTGGGGCTGGAGGGCCGGTATACTTCGGCTTCTTCTTGCTTGTCTTCTTGTTTTTCTTACTCTTCTTCTTCGTCTTGCCCTCCACCAGAGGGTTCTCCTGGAACACCTTGCTGTTGATAGGATCGAATGCACGCACACGCTCCCGGCGCTTCTGCTCAAGCTCCTTGTCGTCTTCATGCCTGGCAAACGGGGTCTTCTTCATCTGCTCCAGCAGCTCCTGTTGCGACTTGCGCTCTCGCTTCTGTACTTCACCTGTACCCCATTCGTACTCTTCACGCTCTTCACGCTTCCGCTTGCCATCCAAGATTTCCTGTTGGCGAACCATCTCGTTGAGCATGTCCAGCTTCCGGCCGCGCTTGTCACGATACACAGTCTCAGCGTTAGCACCCATTTCAGACGCATCAACGCCACGCAAAACATCTTTCCGCTTTGCTGCGATCTTGCGCTGGTGTTCAAACTCAGCAGCAGTAAACAAGCCCGCTTTCTTCTCTTCCTTGTCATCGCTTGTCTTCTTCGGTTCCCTCTTCACCTCCTTCTCGTCACTGCCTTGTGATTTGTTACCACGCGGCTCAGTCTTGAACTTTTCGGGCGAAGGAGACTGCGCTGCCGCATGTGAATCCTTACGAACTCCACGGTCACCCGGCATCTCGTCTTTCATTTTCGTGTCCATCGATTTGCGGCGTGAAGGCCGGCGTCTAGGGCTGTTTGATCTTGAGCGAGAGCGTCGAGGAGATGTTGAGCGATGCCCCTCGCGACTACGACGACGTGGGGACTCCTTTCTTTGTGGTGATTTCCTCCTCGACGACCTTGTTGGAGAACGCCGGCGGCGTACGGATGGTGAGCGACTGTCACGACGACGTGAGCGCGGAGATCGACTGCGGCTGTGGCGAGCTCTACTTCTCCGAGGAGAAGCACTTGTGTCGCGATCCCGACCACGACGGCGTCCTCTGTCACGGCTTCTACTTCGGCTTCTGGAGGATTTTCTGCTACGGCGCCTGACTTCCCTTGAATCAGATCGAGATCGCCTTGAATTTCCACTAGAACGAGGAATGTCCCGGCCAAGAGAATCTACGCGTCGCTGGCGATCAGGTGATCGAGTTGGCGAGCTTCTCTTGTCGCGTTTCAAGGAATCTCGGCGGGATCTCCTCGGAGGCGAGGCATCGTCATCTCGGCGTGATTTCCTGAGAGGTGAGGCATCTTCCTCTTTAATAGCACTTGGCTTACGTGCACCTAGAGATTCGGCTTCCCTCTTTACTCGGTGACGAGGGGGTGAGGCATCGCTGTCCTCTTCATGCACACGCCGAGATCCTTTACTTGAACTGTGCTCATCGCTAGGCTTCCGACGAGGCGGGGAAGCATCACCTGTGTCACCACTGCGATGTCTACGAGGTGGAGATGCGTCATCTTCCTGATCCCGCTCCCGACGCGTATATCGTCGAGGCGGTGAGGCATCTCCCCCACCTTCCTCACTTCCACTCCTCTTTTCACGCCGCTGTTTCCTTGGCGGCGATGTTTCTTCGTCGCTTTCCTCTCTTCGTCTTCTCGACGTTTTCTTTTCAGTATGTGAGCGTCTTCGCGGTGGAGAAGCGCCGGTTCCCTGCAGCGGCACCCCATCCTCATTCTTAGCACGTTTTGTCGACTTCTTTCTCGGTGGAGACAGGTCTCCGTCCTCGGCCTTATTCTGCTGCTTCTTTCTACCATTGAACTCGTCCAGGTACTTGTCCGAGTCCACGTAGACCGGAAGATCCTGTGGATCCACCAGCTCCTCGCCGTCCGCAGCAACCACCAGCGGCTGTTCGTCATCAGCTGCGTCCATTTCCCACTTCTTCTCAATTGCCTCTCGACTAGGCGCCGACTGTTCCCACGTATCGTCCGCGTCCACCACGCGTGTACCCAGCGCGGCAGATTTGGTCTTTTTGGCTTTCTTGGTCTTCCTCTTCTTCTTCTCGGCAGCGTCTGAAAGAGTAAAAGTTTAATACGAGGAAGAAGATGAGTGTCTCAGTTACACAATGAGATAGGATAGAGTACTACAGGAGCCGTACCTCCACCGCCGCCGGACATGTAGCGCTGCAGGTATTCCAGCTTGGACGACATGATCGCCACTAGATAAATGGTCGAATGACAAATTTAGTGCCGAAATTAACATCAAAATTAAGATTGTTATTTTGTGTAGTTTGGGTGTATCCATGTGTATAATGTTTGCTCCATTTCATGGCTTCAACATCGCGCGCAACACGAAGGACATGAGCGAGCCGGCCGTAAGACCGATGGACAGCACGAAGAAGATGACACTGCCACCTAACTCTTTCTCGGCGTTTCTACGGAGCAGATCCGGGTACTCCATAAATGCCAATGTACACAGCAGTCCGTTGGAGAAGGCGCAAGCGGCCATGAACAACATGGCTAGCACGTCGCTGCGGAAGACCACCGTCGTGATCACCTCGTGCGACTTGTTCTGCAGGTTGCAGAGCATCAGAAGTGGGAAGAAGATAAATCGAGCTAGACTGGCCAGCAATACTTTCTTCTGTCCCAGCTCGGGCCACCTCGACGCCGACAAACGCGCCACAAAATCCGATGCGTTGAATAGGATAAGCGTGAACGGCGTGAACAGCTTGTCGAAGAAGATGCTCTTCTCCGGCTGTGTGGACTTGATCGCCGACGTGATTCCAGGGAAGACTCCCATCGTGATAACGAAGACAAAGAAGGTTGCGGCAGCGTAGAATCGGATCTTGAAGGCGACCTCCATCATGTCCACCTTGTTCGAAGCTGCTGCTTCGTCGTCTTCTTCCAGCAGGCGCTTTCGCGGTGAAGCGTCCAGTGTATCGACCGTATCAGTCTCACTGGATGCATCATCAAAATATTCCTTCTGATGATGTCCTGGGTGGTCGACACTCTGGTAGTGGCGGAAGAGCGTCATCCGCGTAAGGATCGCGAACGCCAGTAGACACAGCACCAGCGTAATAAACACCAGCACGAAGTACAGGAATCCGCACAGGTCTGCATTAGCGTGTAGACTGTGGAGAAGCCTGGTATCATCTTGCCCCGCCCACAGAATAACGAAGTTCGACAGCGACACCGCCAACCCAGCGAAACTCTGGCCACTAACCACTGCCTGTGTGTACTGAGGCGGGAAGGTCGCCACAATGCGCAGTAGTCCTTCCTGCATTAGCGTTGAGGCGCAGGCAACGAGCAAGATGCTCACCATTGTCGTGTGGAAGAACGAGTAGCCTACAACAGTGTGAGGTATATTGGTGAGTTGGCTGTGTCATCATGTATCACAGTTGGCACAACACCGCACCGTGGAACTCGGGCATGCGCGTCCAGGCGCAATGCATGAACATGACACCCATGATGACGATGAGCGCGAAAATTACGGTGCGTACAGCGCCTGCCATGCGCTCAGCGATGACCGCTGTGCGAATAAGCATCGTCATGAGCGTGCTGAAGTTGAAGGCCATACTGAACCAGTTGAGAAACGAGTCCTCGTACGTAGTTCCCTGCAAGCGGCGCTGGAAATATGCCTGCGCCGTGATGAACACGTTCCATGGCAGTGAAGATCCGATGCCGATGAAGAAGAAAATGGCGAACACTACGCCCGAAGTGTGCTGTCGGCCCCCCATGCTGCTTGATGCTGCTTGAAGAAGATGATTTGAGAGCTTTTGTCTTCGTGGAGTGGTCCACGTCATTAGGGCACGTTGAAGTTGCTTTTGTTATGATTCAAAACTATATTTCATAGTATATGAGCTTGGGGTTTGTTCATGAATGTCCGTTTATTTCCGATGCAAATCTGATTATGCGGCACTGATTATGAAGGCACTCCCGAGTCAAGATTTTCTTCGGACGGTCGTCAAAGAATGATGTCGTCGCTGTTGCGCTGGGTGGACACAGAGGACGAAGATGAGGACGATAGCGATTGGATGCCCGAGTACGAGGGCGAGTCCGCCTCGCTAGCATTCGAGGAGGACGACGGTACGCCAGTCATCTCCTCGGAGGAGCGCGCCAAGTTGGACAAAGTGTTCGACGGTGAAACGTATGCCCCACGAGCCTTTCGCCGCTCCGAGTTCGAGAAGAAGCAGCGGGAGCAGATTCCGTTCGAGCGCATCGCACACCAGCTGCGTGGCTATAACGAGGACTCGTCCGCATCCTCTCTTTCGCGCAAACAGCTCATGTTCCGCACCTTGTGCCACCGCGAGCAGGTGGGTACCTCGTCCAAGGCGCAACTCATCAAGCTGCAGGAGACCTTCATGCCCTTCCAGGAGAACAAGCAGTGTCGTGTCGTTGACTCAGTGCGCGATCGACTGTACTGCGGCGGATTCAATAGTACCGGATCGCGATTTTTAACTGCCGGTCAGCGCGGAGAGATCATGCTGTATGATACCATTGACTGGACTCACACGGCGTTCCTGCCCGTGCGTGACGTCAGTTGGACAGTCACCGATGCTAAGTTCACACCCGACGATAGCAACGTCGTGTACTCCACCATCAATAGCAACGTTCGTATGGTGAGCACAAACTATGAAGAAGATGGGAAAGAGCAAGTATTCGCGCTGGCACGCCCGACGAGAGGAAGGGGGGATAGTAACCCAATGCGAATGAGTCGTTTCGGGCGCTTTGGTGTATGGTGCATTGACATTAATGCGTCTGGAACGGAATTTGTAGCTGGAACGTCTCAGAGCAGTGTCGTATTGATGGACATGGAGACCCGCGTACCACTGTGTCACGTTGTAGGTCACCATGACGATGTCAACGCTATTGCGTTCGTCGATGGTCCTCTGCATACCAATGTATTTGTGAGTGGTTCAGACGACTCGCTGATCAAGTTGTGGGACCGTCGTGTGCTGTCTGAGTCGAACCCGAAGCCACAAGGTGTGTTTCCTGGCCATACTGACGGTATCACGCACATATCGTCGCGTGATGATGGCTACTACTTCATCTCGAACTCAAAGGATCAAACCACTAAGCTCTGGGATATTCGGAAATGCTTCTCGTCGGATAACTACGACAAACTACCTGCGTTCCGCAGACCTTACTCGTGGGACTACCGCTACCAAGCGTATCCGGGTCGCAATATGATGCCAGTGGAGCATCCAAACGACAAGTCCGTCATGACGTACCGAGGCCACATGGTGATCGAAACGCTGATCCGCTGCTACTTCTCGCCGCTGCATTCGACTGCCCAAAAGTACATCTACACAGGCTCAGCAGACGGTCGCGTGTACGTGTACGACAGTATATCTGGTGACCTTGTAGAGATCTTTGCTATGAAGCCCAACGGCCTCACTCGCGACGTGCGTTGGCATCCGTTCGAACCCACGATCGTGTCCCCGGATTTCTATGGCAAGTTGTGTGTCTGGCAGCGCCAGGATGAAGAACAAGAGCAGCCACCCAGTCGACCAACACCAACTCGGCGTTCTGCACGCCTTCGCCATCTACGAGGTTATTAAGATGCACGGCAGGTCAAAGTTTATGGGTAAACAGTGCACGGACCTACTCGAGCAATAAATGTATTCATCTTTATCACTAAATGGCTACAAATTTGCGCATCATAGACACGTCACTGAAACGAGGGTAGCCATTAAAACCATTCCAACACCATGGGCGAATATGGAGAGCTCCAGCTGACGGACTTCGTGGTCGATGAGCAGCCCAGCAGCTTCCTAAGGCTCACTATGAGCCGTCGCATCAAGGACAAAACGATTGCAGAGCCCAAACTCATCCCGTTCCTGCTGCAGCTGCTTCAGTCCGAGTCTGCAGCGGATTCTACCACTTACGATGCCGATTCTGTTGTGAAGCGCGTGCTTTATGGCACTGGATCGCGTCGTGTGGTGCTCTTGGATTTGTGCGACGTTCCAGTGGCTGAGAAACTCCGCGAACTTCTTCATGAGAAGCCCTGTGAGCTTCTGGGTCGACGTCCCATGTACGCGGAGTTCGCGATGCCTCGCAAGGAGCAGGAGGCGCGCGATCGGCTGCTGAGAGTGCACAACGTGCAACGCAATGCGGGTCCTCCTGGATTGAGAGTCCCTGGGTTGAGATTCGAGGCAGAATTCATCACTGAAGCACAGGAAGCTGCCTGTGTGGCGTTCTTTGAGCGGGAAAATGGAGCCCACTGGGCGAACACCATCCGAGCGAGACAGGTGCAGCACTTTGGCTACGAATTCAACTACGATACACGCAGATGTGACCCGGATCAGCCCATCAACGAACCCATTCCAGAGGTGCTGCAGCCCATTATTGACAGGATCGTAGAGTGCGGGATCATGGACGGCGACAGACCCGATCAGATCACGGTGAACGAGTATCTACCTGGACAAGGAATTGCCTTCCATACGGACACCCACTCAGCATTTACGACGACGATCGCGTCGTTAAGTATCTGTAGTGAAGTGGTTATGGACTTCCGCCACCCGGATGGTGTCCAGAATGAAGGCGTTCTGCTACCAGCGCGTTCACTGGCTGTTATGAGCGGTGCTAGTCGCTACAAGTGGGAACACGCTATCGTTCCACGTACATTCGATGTAATAGACGGAAAGCAGGTCCCTCGGCAGCGTAGAGTGAGCATCACGTTCCGTAAGATCCGATCGGGTCCGTGTGAATGCTCTTTCCCCAAGTACTGTGATACCAAAGAGCGTGAGGGACAAGAAGATGCTGAGGAAGAAGAACAAGATGCCTCTGGGGCGGAGACGACTAGTTTGGCGCCTACTACAGTGGAGAAACAGTACGTTCATGAGTTTTATGAGACGGTAGCCGCACATTTCAGCAGCACACGACACAGTCCGTGGCCGAGAGTTGCTCAGTTTGTGGCTTCATTGCCGAGTGGATCAATGATCGCTGATCTCGGTTGCGGGAATGGCAAGTACATGAAATGTGTGGACTCATCCCAGAGCTTCGTTGTTGGCGGTGACCGCAGTTCGCGACTTGTGAACATTTGTGGACACCGCGGTCTTGATGCGATGGTGTGCGACGCACTGGCAGTCCCGTTGCGGTCTAACTCGTGCGATGCCGCGCTGTCAATTGCTGTACTTCATCATCTCAGTACTCTTGGACACCGTCTAGCAGCTGTGAAGGAAGTGCTGCGTGTTCTACGTGTGGGCGGACGTGGGATCATCTACGCATGGGCACATGAGCAGATGAAGGGCTCCCGTCGTCGCTTCGAGGAAGGAAGGCAAGACTTTATGGTGCCTTGGAACCTTGACAAGCGCTTTGCGTTCTCCACTGAAGAAGACTCTGTTGAAGCTAGCGAGACCTGCGAAATGGAGACCGAAAAGGACCCTAGCGAGGATGGAGAAGGACCTGGTGACGACAAGTCGACTACGAAGGTGCAAGAGCCCGTGGTGGTTCAGAGATACTGCCACATGTTCAAACAAGGCGAGTTGGAAAAACTAGTCGAGCTTGCAGGCAACGCCCAAGTGGAGGAGAGTTACTTCGATGAATCCAACTGGGCTGTGATTCTTCGACGAGTTAGCTGATCCAATGGCAAAAGCCTCATGTTGTGAATAGAGTGCCTACACAGTTATGACGGTAATGTCGGTCCATGCCTCATGACTTTCCACATCTCTTTCTGAGTCAACCTCGGTTGTTCGTCTTCGTCACTGTCTGCAGAGCTCGCTCTTCGTCTTCTTGGCTTTGCCTTGGGGTCTGTTCGCTGTATCTCCTGCTTGTAAGTTAAGTTGTGTGTTGGCAAGATGAACGAGGAAGAGCAGGCATCATAGATGCCAGGTCCGATGGTGTGGGCACTGGCGTGGCCCGCTGCGACCATCGAGGTCAGCAAATCTCGACTAGCTACGCTACCGAAAGCATTAGTTTGTTTGCGTCGCAGCGGAGATAGCGGAAAAAGGTCACTTGCAACGTCACTTTTTCCATTCTCGCCTTCATTGGTCTTGTAACAAGGCTCATAGCTTCCTGGCCCTCTTCGATATGCTTCAAGCGCAGGGACATTCTTACCAAACCGCTGGAACGTTAGTTCACGAAGATTAGGAGATGCAAGACGCTTTCCCAAACGCTACAGAATAATCACAGGTCTGTTAGAAGCAAATGATAATTTGACGAAATCGGGGGCCCTGTACCTCGACGCTTGCACCGAGTTGGTGATACGATTTTGCCAGCTCTTTCGAGTACACTGCGGCATCCTTTTGCTGTTGTTGATGCAGTTGACTGTCACTACGTACTCGCTGTTGTCAAACCAACAAATGATGAATGCAAACTTTCGTGCAAATCTACAGGTTAACATTTGCATACCGTGATAAATGCGGCTGCGTGTTTTGATCGAAATGCTGAGCTCGCCACAGTTGAAGCAGCAGGATCGACTGTACTGCTTTCAAACCGATAAAGTCCTGGTCCAGGACTGCATCCCTTACGTCCGAGAGCTGCATTATTTTCTAGTATCCCGTGGCGTTTTTCGTGCGTGAAGGTGAATGGAGTGGCGCCCATTTCTTGGTTCCTCTGTCATGCAAACGGAATGTCAGTCAAGCTCCCCATTATGCAGAACTACTTATCTCGATCTTACAGCACGATCCACTTCGTAGCTGCCAGGGCCCAAAGCGAAGTGTAACTCTTGAGCCGTCATTCTGTCTTCATTCCGTACTTTGTGATGCTGCAATGCTATCCGCTTGCGCTCCGCAAGGATCTCCTTCATCGTGTAGGCTCGAGGGAATTGGCCTTCCACTGTTGGCGAGTACGAACAGGCATTTGGTTCACTAATTTCACGCAAATGCTGCAGCGAGTTTTCTTCCAAGGCTTTCAGAGTTGTGGCTATTGCAGGTGAGGAGGCCGCAGCTTCAACGAAATGTGACGATCGTTCATGCTGCTCAGGTCGATGATATCCAAACATTCCGCTAAGGTATTTTCCACCAGGCAGCTCCACAGGCGTGTAAGTACATGGATTCTAAGTACACAGAAACAGACATGTCATTGAAAAAAATGCGGCAAGCCTTACACCAGATTAATACGTACGGGTTCACCCTGTCTGTATCGGTTCAAGTCCGGGCCAAACCGATCTTCAGTAGCCAGGAAGGCCATAGTTCAATGTAGAACGGAGAGATAATCTTCTTGCTAGAACTCGCGCAGATCGAAGAAATAACCACAGTAGATAAAAATACTTACTCGTGGTACCTTGGTGACTCAACACGTAGTACTTGAATTTTGACGACGCACGCAGAAGGGGTCGGCCACTTACGAAAGCTTCTTGACAGTCTTTCAAAAATGCCGCGTTGACAACTTTTGAGCTCGAGCCGGGCAAAATGATCGCGGTTGTGCAGAATAGCTAAACGCACGTAGAACTGCAGCGTTGGCGGAGAGACGCGCCTACGTTTTACAGCTCGTACGACCAGAGATTCAATTGCCCCGTCTTCAAGCCAAAGATGTAGCCACCCCCACGAAGCTGTTCGTAGATAGATCTATTGCGGCTGTGCTTTCCTTCATCAATCACGATCACCAACTCGCAAAAGGCGACAACTTCTGGTGCTTGGATTCCAGGAAGTGTAAATTTGCGGACGGAACAAGAAATCAGATGAGTACGTCAACCATCGGCCGCTCAATAGCATTCGCGTGTCCTGTGTCAACGCACTGCATCAAAATGGAAAAGCGCATCGGTAATAGCCGCCAGCGACATCGCGAGCTGGTGAAATGAATTGTTCGACAACTCATCATCCTACACCAACTGCCGGAGGTCTCGAGGTTATGTGCCCAGATCTGCGAATCGGTTTCATGTCTCCATGAAGAATTTGTCGTGACATCCCAGCGAAAAAAAAATCAACACAGCACTGGAGCATTGTGTTTCTTCGTATGCGAGTTGCATAACCCTCCTTTGTGTGCATAATTATCGCAGCCTTCCACTTGGCACAATGTTACTCCGCCGTGTTCGCGGCAAAACCCTCCTTTGTGCACATACTTGTTGCAGCCATCGACTTTGCACGGCATTTGACCACCATGCACCCTGCACTTGTTTTTAGCTTGTTGTCGTCGACTACATCCGTCCACAATGCACAGCTTTCCACCTACACCAGCATGCTCACGACACAGACCAGCTTTGTGCACAAACTTTGGGCAATCACGAACGCGACAATTTTCCTTGCCGCCGTGGATCCTGCAACGGTTGTTGACCTGTTCCCTACGAGTGCAGCCTTCCACAATACACAACTTCACACTGCCTCCACCACCATGAGCTCTACACAATCCTTTACTGTGAGCAGCCTTTTCACAACCATCGACTTCACAGTGGGTCCGACCACCATGAATTCGACATCGGCCTCTAGCTTGTTCTCGACGGTCGCAGTCTTCAACGAGACACAGCCGACCGCCTGCACCTCCGTGTGCTCGACACAGACCTGTGCGTTGGGGGTAACCTCGACACCCGTGAACAGCGCATTGCCGCAGCGGGGCCATCGCACTTCCTGCAGGTGCAGCAGACATTCTCGTCTTCGTAATTTCTCAAATACAAAATTCGTAAGTTGTATTTTTGTCACAAGTCACAGATTTTAAAGGGCTAGAAATGACCTCGTTTGAGTATGCGTCCGTGTCTGGTAGAGGACTTGAGTCTATGGCTAGTCCAGATCTAGCCACAGACTCAAGTCCTCTATAGGAGATAGCTCTGATTCGGGCGGTTCTGTTGAGTTGAAATTGGGCAAGTGCTGCTTGACGTTGCAAGCGCTACCCTTTGATTGGGTTTCTGCACAAGTGGTCTGCAGCATTTGCTGTTTCTGCCGTCGACGAATTGCCTTGCGGCCAATGTTGCTCCGTTTGCGCTGCGCCAACCAGACACAATTCACAAATTAGCAAACATCATTGAGCTTTTCACTATTAGTTCGCCTCACCTGCGGTAAAGCAATATCCAACGCCCGCGGCCAGTCACCGAGCTCTCGAAAGTTGATCAGCACGTCAACAACTGTGTTAACGTTTAAAATATGGTCCAGCCTTTCCGTGAAATGTTCCTGAATCGGTAGACGGACAGTCGTAATGCCTGCTTCGGTTGCTGCGTTAAGCGATGCCCCCTGCAACATGGTAAACAATATTCATTGAACTATCCTGATACAAACTCTGTTTGCATTTAACTATCGCAGTGCACTCACCTTTTTGCGAGACTTGTCCACAATGCCGCCAATCACGTAGATCTTCGTGGGGTCCATTTGCTCAAGCACATTCGGTGAGTCGGGTGATAAATATACGAGTTCCTCCGGCGAAAAGTGCTTTGCAACGCTTACAGCGCCACGCCGCCATTGGATGAACCAATTGCTGGCGCCAAAACGTTCGAGCGAGTGTTCCAGTTCCTCGCTGGGGTTGCAGAAAACCAGTTGGAACGGCTCTGGCATCTGCTTGATCGATCCGTAGCTGAGCTTCAGTTGATTGGCGAGACTTCGAATTTCCTTGTCGTTCATGATGCTGTCGAAACTCAAATCGATAGCGATGCGCTGACTGGAGCTATCCGCTGCAGCCGCTCGCTGCAGACGCTGTAGAGCTTCCTCCTTCTCCGCAGTTTCTTGTATCAAGAATTCTCGACGTTCCTCTGATTGGTTAGCCAGTGGCAAATGCAGCCTCGTTAGTATAAAGCTTGCGGTCGTCTTTATAAGTCATAGTAACCATGCGAACCTTTGGTCATGGAATGCAGCAGCTCTAAGCGTGCTTTCTTCTGGCGCTCACGCGCTGGGCGCTTCGCACGCAGCAGCGAATTTCTTCTACGGGGTTGACGAGACCCAGGGGAAGGTGTAGGTGCAGCAGTGACGACTGCATCAAGCTCGGAGGCGCGGGCGGGGTCGTCGCGCGAAGGCTCTGAAGTCGGGATCATTTTGTGGTCGAAAGGTGTCAATTCTTGATTAGGGTCATGACTTTTGTGTGTACCAAATATTTTGGGAACTAAGAAACGGCTGGTCTGAATATTTTAACTTGAGTAAAGTATGTCACTTTAATAAGATGTAGTGATGGCTACAAGTACGTCAGACTGGTCCTTGAAGCAGGCAACTGCTTAGTGATGGAGATCCCGGCGATGCCAGTGGAGTCCAGCGCAGACTGAGCAAAACGTCTTTATCTTTGGCTCCATGGAGAGCACGCTGCTCACCTCACTTGATGCCTCCTACTACATCTACCGGTATGGAGCAAATCACCATATTCCGACTCTGCGAATGAGTCAATGAGTTGCCTCAAGTATACAGCGTGCCGATCGCTTGCCTGCGTTCTCGTCTTGCCAGCGGAATAGGCTTGTACCTGTATCCCGAGTGGCTACTATATATTGTTTACGATTCCTAAAGAATCAAGCGGCTCGCTTTAAAACGCACACTGGTATCTGGCGCATCAATGAGCATATGCCCGCAAGGATGTAGACGGACTGGGCTTCCGCAGTTGTAGTGTCCTTCGAAATTGCATCGTCGCACTGCGCGAGCACGCGGCAGGATAGCCTTACGTTAAAGGGGAAGGAGCTCTATGGCAAGTCGCACCGTCCACGCTGCGCCAAGCCGAGTGAATTCTAGCAAATGTGCACTCGAACGAACTTCACCGTGGAGTGATTTCACTGCCATTTCGAGGCATCGAACCGTGATGTATGGTGGGACCAAGGGACTGTCTCTCTTTGCCATACGAAGAGCGTCGTGAAGATGCGGAGAGCAGTGCAGTGGGTTACAACAGCGCTGTTAATTAGCGCGAGAAACGCACTCGATGCCCATGGCGTAATGGAAGCATTGACTCGATTCGTGCCTCCTGTTTTCGGGTAACGCGATATCCATCCCAAGGCGTGCAACACTCGCTGGAATTCGCTGCTATTGCCTCCGCTCAATGCGCCAAATGGCCGGCGTTTGCAGCGCGGTGACACACAGCTTCAAGGGACATTAGTCCAGGGGCAAGGTGAGCCTGGCGTCGTCCCATTGCAAGTTGCGGATGGGCATCAAGTGTCCGGTCCAAAGCAGGTTTTTATCCAATCAGGATCCTGTTCGCCTAGACCTGAAAGTGTACACAAACTTGTCGGTCTCAACGATTCCAATCCTCCTCATTTACATATCCTCTCAACATCACTCTAACACAAAATATGCAATCGCACATTTTTTTGCTGCATTATGAACTGTTGTATTGCATCAACCTGTCAAAATCACAAGAATATCTCTTCGTGGTCGGGTTGTGGACAGCAAGTCACGCATGAGCTCCAGAGTCCGGCGTGGACGAGGGCACAACGCGAGCGCACCCAGCTCGAGCCTTGCTCCGCGGCCACAACCAGCGCTTCCTTGTTCCCAGCAGCTGAAGCTATGGCCATGGCCGAGGAACCTGCAGCTGCGCCGGCGGTACAGGCGTCACCCAAGCTCAAGAAGGCGCCGACGGCGGTCACGGACACGAGCAGCACCGCGAGCAGCAGCGACAACGAGAAGAGCGTCAAACCCTCGGCCGAGCTGCTGCAGAAGGAGCCGCAGGAACAGCCAAGCCGCTCAGTTCGCGCCGACTCACTGGGCGTGGACCGCAGCTCCCGTCCGCACTTCAAGGAAGGAATCCGTCTCGCCGAGATGGGCAAGTGGAGCACGCTCATCGACCGCGTGGCGTCCGAGCCGCAGCTCGCGCGCCACAAGGACCACCACGGCATGCTGCCGCTGCACTGGGCCTGTACAGAGGACGACACCCCGCCCAAGGCTGTGCGTGCGCTGCTCGCAGCCTTCCCCGAAGCTGTGATCACCAAGAACAATGCGCAGTACCTGCCGATCCACATCGCAGTGAAGGCGCGTGCACCCCTGGAAACACTCAAACTGCTGGTTGAAGCACGACCCAGCTCGCTTATGGAGGAGACGCCTGCGGGCAAGACGGTGATTCAACTGGCCAAGGAGATGCAGCTTCCCCAGGGAGCCATGGAAATGCTCCAGCGTGCCGAACAGGACTATCTGGACCTCAGCGAAGACGATGACGAGGCTTTTGACTATGAGGACGTCAAGCGTGAGATCGAAGTACAGAGTCAGCTCTTACGTGAGAGTATGCTACACCCACCGTCGATGAACGGCCCGAACGCTTCGTTGCCGCCGTCGAACCCCATCGGCGCCGCGTTTGACCTCGGTGCATCGCAGAACCCGTTTGAGAACAGTCAGAACATGGTCACGACGCTCAGCTTTGTGGACGGCACGCTAGTGCAGTCGCAGTGCAACTTGTCCAAGTCCGTGTCGCTTCCTCGCAAGACGGAGGGACCCACACAGGTGGTGACAGACACCTTATCTCCACCCCCGACATCGCTGGCGACACAGGCACGTGGCGCACCCGCACTGGGACCTGGACGCTCCAAGAGCGCTCGTGAGATTTCTCAAGCGCCAGCCCCCGCTGCATTTGACGACTCATCTTTCGGCCGACCGATCTATGAGCCTGACCACAACGCCGGTGTGTGCGGCGTATGCTACAAGAAATTCTCCATGTTTCGCAAGAAATACCAGTGCAAGGGCTGCTTTACGTATCTGTGCAAGAAGCACGTGGCTGGGAAGATTATGCTGCCGAATTACTCCAAGAAGCGCTCAGTGTGCGGTGACTGCTATCGGATTTACCGCAATGGGCCCATGTCGGCGAACACTGCGTCTGGAGTTACTGGTGCCGGTGCGCGCGCCGCAAGAGCATCAGGCAGCCACATTTCCGGGTCTGGTCCTCCAAGTGATAAGAAGGGCCCGAACCTACGCACTACGACGTCCCTCCCTGCGCCTTCGACGGTGTCTGCACCATCAACTGTGGCGGAAGCTACGGACACGATCAGCTCCAACAGCAGCATGCTGTACAACAACACTCGTCCGAGTAACCCCCTCGGTTCTCGTCTTAACAGCGCACGTACGACCCGTGCGGAGTCTACCCACTCAATGGTGGGCCGGCCGTCGAACGTCCCTGGCCCGCAGATGAACCTGCGTTACAGTACCAATACTGCTGGTGCACGGCCGAACCGCGTGCCGAGCGGAGGCCGCACGCACGGCAGCAACACTGCGATCAGTGACACGACTGTGAGTCTTACGGACAGTGACCACCAGGCAGCTGATGTGAGTGCTCTGCAGCACCGTATTGCGACACTGGAGGAGTGCAACAAGATTCTTATGAATCGTGTGGCGGATCAGGAGAAGCAGTACAACGAGGCCATGTTGCTGCTTACAACGACGATGACGCGTGTGGCCGAGATGGAGATCCGTCTGCCTACGGAACAACGCAAGTCGTACCGAGGAACGGGTGGCTCCACTACTGCATCGGAGAGGGCATCCGAGGTGGATAACAGTGATAAGTTCTCCTTCGCGACCCCGTTGGTGGAGAAGTACGACTGAGTGCGAACCAGTGTGAAGCATACGAGTGAAGTATTAGTATAGACGTCGTCGCGTGCTTGGACAAGGGAGCAAGGGCTCTGAACGGACTTTTTTGCTACAGACGTATCGATAGACACAACATGAGATTCGAGTGATAGGCTTGCTAAGCAGCGCTATGGAAGATTATTATATGTTCTTGATGAGCAATGTAATGTGTCAGTATTTTATCGAACAAGGTCATGTTGAAGAGGTCAAACACCATGAAAAAGATCCTGGGACTTGTTCGAGGTAGCCGTTGACGCTAAGACCATTCAGGCGGAAATTCGTAAGCACACTAAACAGTTGAAGTGATCGCCATTAATAGGTAGGAGCAGCTAAGAAGTGAAGGTAGGTTGGCTTCCCAATGTAGCAAAGATATTCAACAATTCCTATTGTTAGAGCTCCGTGAAGATGCCTTGGTCTGCAACGCAGAGGAAAAGTGTTTTTATTTAGGTATTGTAGAGCTACCAATCGATCGTTCACTTTCGAATCTGCCAGCTTTGAGAACCAGAGCAACCACCTCGCACCATGAGTGACCCGTTCGATTTCCTCAACCCGATCGCTTCGACCAAGACCCCGGCCGAGAAGGTTCTTAGTCAACCTCATCACGCTCCGGTAGGAGTTCCTCCTGCTCCAATGGCGCCGATGAACGTCGGAATGGGTATGGGCATGGGAATGCCTGCTCCGCAAGGCAACATGGGCATGGGTATGAACATGAACATGAACATGAACATGGGTGCTCCACCTGCTTTCAACGGTGGCGGTGTGCCCATGAACATGGGCGGTATGCTGCCTCACGGTGGCATGATGCCTGGACAATTTCCCGGTGCTCCTGGAATGGGTCTCGGTATGAACCAACCCGTGAACCCGTTTGGCCAGCCTCCGGCTCAGCAAGGTCCCATGTACGACAACATCAAGAAACTTTTGGAGAAGAAACCTGCTGTCGATGATGCGTCCATGGACTTTTTAGAGAACCTAGGCGGTGGTGCGAAGAGTTCGAGTAATCCCTCGATGGAGCCTGTCCGATCTCCTGAGCCCGTAGCTCCTGTGAATCCGTTTGGTGCCCCTCAAGCCCCAGCTGAACTAGATTTTAGCATACTTGGTGGAGGTGCTCCGCCTTCTTCCGCTCCTGTCCAACCAGCGTCGCCTGCTTCCGGTACCAAATCCAGCGCTCTTGCTAGCCGTCTTGCTCACGGAAAGCGACCAACCCAAGAGGCTGCACGCAAGAACCTCGGATTCAACGCAGGTGCCTTTTCTGGCTCCGGTCATGCTAAGATTTCACTCAAGACTGTGGCGGGTGGCACCATTTCTTCGACGTCTAACGGTGAGCCCACTCTTGACGATTTCGTAGCTGGCAATGCACCGTTGGCACCAGTCGATGACATTTTTGCGGCCACACCGACTAACCCTCCTGCGAATCCCGCTGCATCGAGCTCCAACGACATCTTCTGGTAGAGGCCAACCATCAAGGCGTGACAACTACGTTATTATATCTAACATTTCAATCAACAAGAGCTTTTCCTAATTACTTGTGAAAAAAATCTACCTTCTTCAACATATCAGTACGGCTGCGATAGCTTTTCCTAGATTATTACTCCTGCCCATGCGCATCTGTGGTTCAGGTGAACCTTCACCTTTCAACGATCGGCCGTTTTGTCCAGAGTCATCTCTAATTATGCGTTGTGGAGTCCGTTGCGAACCACGCTGTCCCAGCGTGTGTGCATGGAGGAAAGTTTCTATATATATGTGGCGGAGTTGGGACGTTGGTAGCTTTCACTATTAACCTCAGAACGACTTTCTCGCCATTGCTCAAGCGTCCAATTCCAGCATATATCAATTACTCTACTGAAAACTCGCAACAATGAATGACCCTTTCGCTATGCTGGACCCGGTGCAGAAGCCAGGATCGTCGTCCAATGGTTCTTCTGCATCGAACTTCGCCACTGCACCGAGGCCAGCCTACCCACCGATGGCCAACCCTTTCGACAATTTCTCGAGTGCTAGCTCTGGAAATTCAATGATGATGCATCAACAACAACAACCGATGTACCCAAACGGTGCTAACTTTATGACTCAGCAGGGTCCTCCGGCATTTGGCGGTCTCAGTGGTGGAAACCAGCAATTCGCGACGTACAGTCCGTACCAGCAGCAAATGCCAGCACCTGCCCCGATAATGATGATGCCCCCACAAATGCAAATGCAACCACAGATGCAAACGCAGGTGCAACCGCAATTTCAGCAGAACCAAAACAATGTCCCCACCAAACTGACGCCGATGCCCACCTTCGGAGGCGAGCCGATCATGTATGACAGCATCAAAAACGTCATTAAACCAGCAGACCCGTTCGCCACAGCCCCCAATTTCGCAGCGCTTCGTGCTCCTGAACCCACGTTTGCTCCGCCGCAGCCACACCAAGCACGAGATACGAAGTCTACCATCGTCGACTTTGACCCCTTCAGCCCCAAAGGTGCCACGCCGCGATCACCGTTTGACTTCCCCGACGATGCCACAGCGACAAATACCTCAACAGGATCAAATGACCGTTTTTCGTCCTTTGGAGGAAAGCGTCCTACACAGGAAGAGCAACGCTCGCAATTGGGATTTTCATCGGAGGGCTTTGCTGCTGCGTCGGCCAAACCGTTGCAACACAGGATCTCTCTTCGGGATGTCAACAACAACACCAGCACTAACAATGAGGACACTACCCCGTACTTCCTCGAGGGCAACGACGCATTCATGCACTCAAATTTTGCCAATCTGGACGACTTTGAAACTAATACTACAAGAAGAGGTAGCAGCTCAGCGAATGCATCCACAGAGTCCACCAGCCAGGGAGAGATCCCCGAGGAATGTGGCAAAGATGAATACGATGTTCGCTTCGAAAGTGGTCGCAAACTGGGTGTTCTCATGGAGCGTGTCGACGTTTGGAACGCGGCCAACCAGCGCAAGGAGACCGCAGTGGTGAAGCTCGTGGTCGAGAATGGTGCCGCTGACCGCGTGGGTGTGTCCATTGGTAGTACCGTGGTGGCTATCAATCGGAAAAGCGTGGAGAACGAGACCTACGTCGCCATTTTGGAAATGATCAAGGCTGCTCCACGTCCTCTTCGCATGCGATTCCAGCGTGGATCTCAGAATAAAGACACTACACAGGGCACTATCCTTACCAGAATCTCCAGTACGTTCTGACAGCGTTTTGCGCTATTAGAAGTTGAGTTGATACACTAACGTTGTGAACCTGTTCAGATGGCACATTTAGCGTCGGCAACCTTACGTCGGGCAACGCGACGTGGACAACTAAGTACTTTGCGTTTGGAGGTTCTAAGATGGATGTTCTCCAGCTCTTCGTATCACGAGCAGCCTACCACGAGGTGAGCTCTTTACTTTCTTTCTATTCTTGAAGGTTTGTACTAAAACCGTTGTCTTTTATCGTGGTGTTAGTGTGTGATCGCTTTGTACGAGAAAAGAGGCGTGCACACGCAGATCCAGTCCTTCCGTCTGTGCCGAGACCACAAAATCTCCCCGATCAAGAGCAAGATCTACAAGGGTTATGGTATGTTGCACATTTTCATCTAAACACGTTTGATAATCACTGAAGACTAACCTACATCTTGCACTACTAAAAGGAAACCTCCACTACTTCTCGCTGTCGGTGCCTTCGCTGCGCTTCGTAGCTGCCAAGTTTGCAAGTGACGACTACGCGACCATCAAGAACATTTGGTCCAACACTTACGATGCCATTGAACGCAAGAAGCGCATGGCGTACTAAGACCTCCACCTTACACCTTCGTCGTCTCCTAGCTGCAGCTACTTAAGTATAGTTTTACACCACAACTATCCTTGCTCAAAGAAAGAATTTATCCTCGATTAGCTTGTCAATAACGTGGTCAAACAACGTATTACAGCGGCAAGGATAAGAACGCTTCATGAAGATCCATCCACAGCAGTCCACAGGCAAAAATAGTAAGAGCTACAGCTAAAGCGTGTCGTGCGTGACGCCCTCGGCCATTTCTCTATTCCGGGACTGAATCGTCTCGAAAATCTCGTCACCGAAGCCTCGGACTTCCCAACTGGGCTTGAAGTTCGCAAACAGAGAAGCAGGACGCCCACTTGAGAAGCTCTGTTGGGCACCAGTCACCATGAGTCGACTCATGCAGATTGCTCAGCGTTCGAACAAGGCTCCCGTGGGTTTTAAGGTGCAGCTTGTAGTGCATCGGCTGAATGCAAACTTGGCCCTCAAGCACAACACCGAGCTGGTTGCTGTCATTATGGGACGAAAGAAGAAAATCCCCACAAAGAGCGCACCATACCAACCAGCGGACCCCGGTGATGACGGCTCGTTAAGACGGCTAAACGGATCGAGAGCCATTCAGTCGTCCCAATCGAGATGTGGGGACACCGGTGAAGTCATTTGGGGTGACATGGTCGCCTTCTCCAGCACGCTCTACATGGCCAAGTCAGGTCTCTTCCAAGCCAAGCGCTTCCAGATCCACGTCAACACAGCAGGCGAGTACGGTAGAACTGTCGCTATTTTCGAGTTCGACTTGGCAGAACTCGTTCCACTTTCCAAGGAATCTGGGAAAGAGAGTGTGCGCTTGAACACGACCAAGTGTTCTGATGATCCTCGAGCTTGTATTTCGCTCACAGTTGTGAGCTCACGTGTGAACCGTGACGGCTTGGGTCGAGACAAGGAGGGATCATATATAGACGACAGTGCTAGCGAAATAGGATCCGAGATGTCGGCCTACACAAGCCACAGCCGAGCATCGTCGCTGGCTTCGAATTGTCGCCGTAACATTGAAGTACCCATTCCAGAGCAAATCGGAGATGGCAAAGCTGATGCCATTCGTATAGCAGGACACCCAGCGTCATCGGAAGAACCAATTGCAGCGACTGACAATGCTCGCGAAGAACTGGTGAAAGCCTTGCAGGATTTAGAGGGCCAGCTTCGTGAGAGCGAGGCTGCCAATGTGAAGCTTGAAGCCACAATCGACCAGAAAGACCGGGAGATTGACCGGCTTACGAGAGTAGCAGCAGGTGTTGGATCACCAAGCTCCGAAGCTGACGACGGTGTGATGCAGGTGGACTTCCTCGTCTACATGACGCTGAAAGAACAGTACGATGCATTAAAATTCGAGCACGAGAATTGCCAGACTATCAAGGAGACGGTGGACGTTCGTCCTGCCACTGGAATGTACACGATCGCCGATGTGGAGAACGAGGAAGAAGCGAGCAAAGAGGAGGTCAATGAAACCAAAAAGGACATCAAGGATGACGCCTCTGAAGCGTCTTCTGTGAACGAGTACATGGACGCGGAGGAACCTCATTTGGTCGCCGAAGTAAATGCTCTGAAGCGGTTGCTTGAGACGCAGCGCAGCGAAGCTCAGCAGCTTAATATTACAATCAACGAGTTGACATTGGCAAATAGCGAGCTGGAGACGCAGCTTCGCAACCTCCGAGCTACGATCAAGCAGAAGGACGAGGAATTGCAGGAGTCCACCGCTGCCTTACAACGGGCTGAATCTGTGCGTAATGAGGTTAGTGATGACTCCGCAGAAGCTGAAGCACAGGCTCAAGCTGCACTAGAGACTGCTCTGAGCGACAACAAGCGGCTGGAGAAGCAGCTACTCAAGTTCGATGGCGCCATGACTGCGATGGAGGAGGAGAAGGCGCGTTTGATGGTTCAATTGAGAGAGGCAGAGATGGCAAGTGCCGCTGCTCAAGAGGAGATTATCAAGGTGCAAAAAGCTCTCGAGCAGCTTGAACGTAAGAGCCAAACGCTGTCCGCAAAGTTGCAGGCGGTCGACCAAGCACGTGAACTGGCCGAGGAGAACGTCGTCACGGCAGAAGCCACGATCGGTACACTGCAGCAGCAGGTTCGTGATCTATCAACTCAGTTACACGAGACGCAACACGAGCTTGAAACGCTACGTGAGAACCAGTTGACTGCAAGTTCAGTGGCACTTGAGGAGGCTGCGGCAAAACACCAGGCGCTTGAGCGGCTCTGGGAAGACGTTAAGACGGAGAACGAGCGACTGCAAGCCCGTGTCGAGGAGCTCGAGTTCCGACTGGCCCAGTCCGAAGCCAATGGTGAAGAGAAGACCGCGGAGTTACAGGCACAGGTAGTTAAAGTGAAGCGCGAGGCGGATGCACTGCGTGAAGAGCTGGACTCGCTGCGTGCTTCCAAGACGCTGATCGAGAACGAGTCGCTGGAGCGCGAGCAGAAGCTCCACGAAGCGACTGAGACGCACCGCCGCATCTCAGTGGACCATGACGAGCGTCTCAGCTCCGAGGTTATGGCGCGTGAAGAGCTGCTCACACGCTTGCAAGAGCAAATGCAACAGACCGAGAAGATGTCGGCGGAGCTGAGCGCCAAGGTGGTTACGCTCCAGCAGGAGCTCGACTACTTCCAGGGCGAACTTATCGAGAACAAGATGAAGGTGGCTCAGCTCACACAGGACAACGACGATCTGGTCATCCGCAACCGCCGCCTCGAGAAGGAGGCTGCGAACACCAAGAAGTAGATAATAGCGCCAATCCAATAACTTCAAGTATATCCTCCGCGTCTGCGCTTTTCATCCTACACTGGCCTACGCGGCGTCTGCTCTCGAAGGACCTATCCATGAGTGCCATCACGATTGGTGAAGTCGCAGACATTTTCGAATGTAGCCATGTGTCAACTTCTCCAATTCTATGTCCACCACACATCTGAGACACAAACGAAGTTAGTGTTTTCACATCAGATTCTGTCATCACCTTATTTTATGATGTGGTGCACATTTCGTTACATTGCATAGTGAGCCTCATACAAAGTCAGTCCCAAATTTTCTCGCAGAGTTGACCGCACGCCGCCTGCAGGCGAGGGGAAGAGGGGGGAGCACTTAGCGCCGGCCAGAATGGATCTGTTCGCGCGCGCACGCAGTGTCATTGACCACCGAGGAGCGTCGGCTGTAACGCGGCGTCAGAGTCGTGAGCAGGACGCGCAGGACACACAGGACAGTCGGGAACAGGACCAGGATCGCGTTTTAGGTGGTCCAAAGGCCAAAGTACGTGCGCTACTGGACGAAATGCTTGCCAGCGCTTCCTGGGGTGAAAAGGAGCACGAGGGCGAGGAGCGTCGCCTGTTAAATGAGCTCCAGACCTGCATACTAGACGCAGAGAGTCGCCAAGCACTCGAGCAGTTGCCCAAGCGCATGTGCGCCTACGAATTTAAACCTGGAGATATCGCGTGGAACTGCAAAGTGTGCCAGGTTAGGACAGAATCCTGCAGGACAGAAAGAATGTTTGAAGGCTGACCAGGATCAACGTGTTGCTGTTTAGGTGGACGAGACGTGTGTGATGTGCAACGACTGCTTTATATCCAGTGACCACGAGGACCACGAGGTCTTCTTCTACTACACACATAGTGGAGGCTGCTGCGACTGTGGAGACACCGAAGCTTGGGCGCCCGAAGGCTTCTGTACACGACACAAGGTAGGAGATGATAGTTTGTGGATGGAGGGACAATATGATAGCTGATATTTTGACACTACAGGGAGCACAAGACGCAGACCCACTGAGCTTCTTGCCTCCAGATCTGCTGGCAAATTCTCGTGAATGTATCGGGGAAGTGATGAAATTGGTACTGGATTCTGTAAAAGAGGCCAGGTTTGGCTCCGTGATAAATGAAGACGATCTCGAGGTCATGCGCGATAAACTGGGGAGCGAGGCGCCTGATAGACGTTACTCGGTTATTGTACACTACAACGAGCTGCAGACGTCGCAGGAATTCGCGACGGCGCTGAATAAAGCCCACCCTGCGATTGCCGTACGTCATACTTATTCGCTGCATCTTAATGCTGACTAATGAGCTTATTTATGTGTGCTCCCTTCCAGTATCAAATGCTTAAAATCGTCGGTGAGACTTCGTCGCAGAAGCAGAGTACTGTGCGTGCTAAGGCTTCTCGTGAAGATGTTCTGGAGTTGGCAGCTTCATTGCATAAGCACGGCATTGTGACTTCTATTGTTTCCTGCGACTATAAAGCAAGAGTGCCTCTTATTAACTCGTTGCTTCAGTGGCTTGCTTCACTTGCAAACCTTTCCGATGGCCTCTGTCGCCTAATTTGCGAGAAGGTATGGCTTTAAGAATTATTCTAGTGTTGTCTACTGCAAAATTCTAACGCAAATGTTGTCTTTGAATCCCGCAGATGTGTGCTGTAGAGAGTTTAGAGCACAGCGAGAACAGCATGGAAGTCGATGAAGCAGACGATTACCCGATGCTTAGGGCTGTTATTATGGCTGACTCATTCCTGCCTAAAACCGAGAGTGACGCTCTTCACAGCCTACTGATGGCTCTCCTGGCTGACCCTCTTTTCAAGCAAGCGTTCGCCATCTCATTCACATCGTCATATCGCCAGCTATATCGAGAATTCGCGGCGGGAGTGGGCAGCTCGACCTCAACAATACTAGCATTCAGCGTGCAATTCTTCAACCGAGCAACTTTTGTGAAAAAGCTTGTTGCCGAGTACGATCTTCTGGAAGTTTTGATAAACTCAGTACTTGAAACTCTGCGCAAGAAGCCCAGAACAGATTTTATCGATATTGCGTTCGAAGATACTTGGAACAGCATGATACACGTGCTGCATCCAGACCACAACCGAGAGCTTGATGTCTGGGATGTCTTTGCGATGGGGATTCAACGTTCACAAGGCTCTACGTTACGCGACGTCAATGTGAGCACACTGGTACTAGAAGCGGAACGTGCAGGTTACCATATCAGGCATCAAAAGGAGATGTCGCCATTCCTAAGTTTACCTCCGGAGACAGAGCTTACGGGGCGTTTCGAGCTGGATGTTACGTCACCAGTATTCGTGTATCGCCGCTATATGTCGGGACTGCTGGATCTGCGCTATGTTCTACAGATTGAAGGGATTTCAGAGAGTTTTGTATTGGAGAAAGGAGGCTCTCGCTTGGCTCGGTTTCTGCTGTATCTAGCGTATATTCAAAGTGCATGCTCAGAAGCTCGACGATTCGGAGACCACGTGGAAATGGAGTCGCGTGGATGGGTCGTGACTGTGGAGTTTGTATCGACGACATCGGACGTGTCTTCGTGGGTTGTATCGAACGCTTTCAAAACTGCTGGAGGACCCGAAGCAACACGTTCCTCGGAAGCTTCACGGCATCTGATCGCTAAGTTAGCAAAACCCATATTAGAGGCGTATTTCTTCTGGTTAGCGTCCAGTGGCAAGTATTTTCCTCCACCTGACTACCAGGTTGGAGACACTCTTCGCGCAGACCAGATTGAGACTGCGGTGTCATGTCATTTCCCACTCCAACGCACGCTTTCGCAATTGATTCGGGCTTTAAGTGATTCCGCGAATGGCTTGGATATTTTCCTGTCGATGGTGCAGAGCCGAGTATTAGAGGACGACGAATCGGTGTGGGTTCACGACGCTGATAGCCCGATTGGTTTCTGGCATCGCGTGCATCTTATTGAGCCTGTTCTCCAAGCTATTGTATGGGATGCTCAAGTGCACTCAGGCTTGTGGGTACGCAACGGTATGTCGGTGATCAACCATAGTATGAACTATGGCGAACCACCGTTTTGTGCGCGATTCCGTGATCTCGATTTACTATTGCTGCAGTTTAGCTTCCAGCTATTGGGCGTTGATTGGGTGATGGCATCGATCATGGAGCGCTTCGACGTCGAGGAGTGGTATGAGGCAGCACAGAGCGCTGATGCGAAGGAGGCGGAGCTGATGGTGACCGAGTGTCTGGCCTTGCTGTCCCAGCTTGCGTCTGAACTGCCACCTAAGGTTACAGAAGGCGACGCAATGCGCAGTTTAATTCCGTATTTGCGCCGAGAAATTGTACAGCGCTTGTGCGTCGGCCCATGCGCTCATAGCGACTTGTCCAAGATTGCAAACGAATTTTTCATGAGTCGCGAGAATCTGTTCCCAGCCAGTTTCTCAGGAGGTCCCGTGCTTGACCAGATCTTGAAGGAGGTGTGTGTGGAAGCAGGCTTCTCGGCGTCGTCTGGATCTGGGGACTCGGCCGCACCAGGTGGAGGCAAATTCCAGTACCGATTGAAGCCGGAGCTGTATGCAGAGTATAACCCGACGTTTGTGCACTTGACGCGCAAGCAGCACGAATCCGCTCATGAAAACTGGTTCCAGCATCGCCTCCGTTCGTCTAAAAAGCGAGAGCAAGAGCAGGCAGACGGCAGCCCGAACAACACCCACTCGACTTGGCTTGATTATCCAATGGTGAACATGTTTTTGCCGTGTCCGCTTGGCTTCCGGTTGTCTCGTATTTCAATTCTGCATGAAGACGTGCGAAGATTGGTGTACGAGTCGTTGTGGCGAGCCACAACCGATGCGCATAGTAGTCTCAGTGTTCTATCGCGAGCGGTGCATTTGTTCACGCTACAATTGTATGTAGTGGAAGATGTACGGTACTTCCAGACGATGGTTCCTGCCTCGGACGCGGAGAACTTTGAACGAGAGCGAGCTTCTCGGATAGCAGACAGCTTTATCGAGTGGATCCCACAAGAACAGCCGAGTTTATTCTCCGACGCGGAGCCACGATGCGCGATACTAAATCTATTGTTGAAGCTGAACCCTTGGTCCAGCCATGGTGGCAGCGCAAGCATGACGAAGCTGGACGGCGATCAGAAGCACGAAATTGGACGAGGAATTGATTGGCTATTGCATCGGCTGTCCCGCATTAGTCCGGAATGTCGAAGCGTTGTGGAACAGCATCAGGTGACCGAGCAAGAGTCTCGCGACGAAGCTGCACGCAAGTTGGCGTTGGCCCAAAGACGTAAAGAGGCCCAGATGCGTGCCATGAGGCAGATGCAGCAGCGACAAGCAGCTTTTGCTGAACAGATGAAGGCAATGGCAAACGAAGCAGATGCTGTCGGCGAAGAGGAAGTTGGTGTGGATAATGAACGCGAGAAACATGCGCACAATGCAACGGATGCTGCCGGGGACGATAGTGACGTTGAAATGGACGACAACGAGACTACGATGAGCGATGATACACCTGCTGTGGAGTGCGCGATGTGCCACTCGGTGAACTCGGAGAACAGCTTTATGTGCTATGTGGGCTTCGCTCAATGCTCTCCTGTGCTCTCTCGACTAAATGGAGGCTCGCATGGTCAATATCTGAGTACACCTATGGATGAAATGCACGTCGGTGAAGATATTCCAGTGCATGTACGTCTATGTGGCCACTCAGTGCACCATAAGTGCTGGGAATCGTATCATACGTCGCAATTCCAACGCGCAATAACTGGTGGACACCATCGTCATGCACTCAATGCTGTCGATGTCACCAAGAAGGAGTTTTTGTGCCCATTGTGCAAGTCAATCTCCAACGTGTTAATTCCTACAACAACCGACGATGAGAGCAAGTTTCTCCCTGCTATGAAGCGCCGAGTATCAGTCGATGGATCTGGGGAGCGAGCTATGGCTACAGTAACGCAGTTAGAGATGGTTCGTTGGCTGGAGCATGCTGTTGGAAGAGATACACAGACTCATACAGAGGATATGAATGGCTCAACTGATATCAGCGAGGACGCGAGTGCAATGCTATTGGAGCAGAAGCCAGCTTTAATCTCGTCGAGTGACGAAGATCCTATCGAAACGGTGCATCTGAACAAGTGGCTAGAGAACGGCCTGGCTTCACTCTGCATGGCAATTCACAAGGTGGCGTGTGGAGCGATGCAGAAGTCCCAACCGGAACGCTACACCACGTCAGGTTGTAACGCGCTGTTCCACACGCTGCTGTGCTCTTTCCTAGACACTCATGACACAGATCAGCTGCGAGAACACCTCTTCTTGGAAGCCATGCGTTTTCTCCCGTTGATGCTGAAGCACGTCAACATACGCTTGCCCCCGAATGCATCAGTGGAACCGACAGATTTGTATTCGAGAATCCTACACTTGTTATTCTACGGCGGATCGGATGTTCGTCCGGATGGAACGGTGGTGCTGGAGAGCGAACATCCCAGTACACAGACTCAAACGCGAAAGCAGAGCCAGTGGGGGAAGGTGCGATGGCCACAGAAGCCACTACTGCTTAATCACTTGGGAAGTGTGCTGATGAAGGGGTTACTGCTGGCGAAGAGCGAGGAAGATGCGGTGTTTGTTGCTCGGCTCGTGGTGCTTGCACGTCTTGTGCAGACACTGCTGTGGTACGCGATCACACGGAAAGAGGAGTTCACGAATGCGATGGCAGATGATCTCGCGTTCTCGGAAGAGAATGTGGCGTTCTTTACGGCCTGCTTTACGGACGAAAGCGCCGATGATGGAGACAATCGTGAGGACGCTGTGGGACGTCAATTGGAGCTGCTTCTGGAGACACTTATGAGGAAATGTGACGGCGCGTTTGAAGTGGAACCTATTGTTGCAGACAAGCGCCAGCTTCTGAACGTCGTGGCATGCGAAGTCGTTCCTCTTGCCAAGGTGGCTACGTTCATGATTCAGTCACTGACTAGACGAGTTCGTGCTGGGACGATAGCTGCTTCGAAACCAATATTTATTACTCAAGAAGACGTCTCCGCCATTGGCTTTGTGAAGCTGAATGCTCTGCAACTCGACGAGAACAGCAGTTCTGAGCAGACTGCTCTCACTCAACTCGTATTTGCGTGGGTGCACCGCTTCAAGGCCGCATACGAAGAGATGAATGACCCGCACTCTGTTCTCCAGCAATGGCTTACAACGGCCAATGTGGATCGCACTCCGAAGTTGGTGCTACCGTCTGTGTTAAGGAGAGATCTTCACACGATGCACTCGACCATTTCGGTCTTCTCTTCGGGCGCTAATCGCACGCGGTATCTCCGCTCGCTGCCTCGACCGTACGTTAAATTCTACTCGGAGCTGGCGAAGCGCAAATGCCAATCGTGTCACCAGTTCCCTGCCCGGCCTGCTGTCTGCTTGCTGTGTGGAATGCTGCTCTGCGCCGCCAATACATGTCCGTCGATCCACTTGGACAAAGGTGGATACCCGGACGAGGCCAATCCCGGTGCGTGTACCGTTCATGCCAAGAAGTGTGGGCGAGGCAGCGGTATGTTCTTGTTAGTACTGGAAGGTGCCGTGCTGCTTGTGTACTGGAAGCTGGCAGCGTATGTGGGGAGTCTCTACGTGGACGAGTATGGAGAGGAGTTCGGCGAACGCAACCGCGAACTGAGCAAGGGCCGTCCACTTTACCTCAACGAGGAGCGACGTGAACGGCTTCTGCGACTGTGGCTGCGTCACGAGATCCCCAACGAGGTCGTCAAGATCCAGAACAGCTCCGAACGTGTCATCCGCAACAGCCACTACTGATCGATGTAAAAGCAAGAGAAATTCCACGCCCTACCGCTGGCAGTGTCAATAGCGAGCTCGGCCACTGCGTAGACACTGGTCGAGCGTCAACCAATAAACAATAAACGAGGCAACTGAACTTTGAATTAAAGTCTGAAGCAGTGCGTCACAGTAGACGGAGCACTATGACACCGGACACGTGTTTATTGTGATTGGCCAAATATGCTATTTGAACTTCAACCGATCGCACTTTTTGTGCAATATTTGTTTTGATTGGTCGAAAGTTCTGTTTAACGCTGATTTTGGAAAAAAAATCGTAAAAATCGTCCAAATTCGTACTTAGTGAAACGAGCGGTGGAGATCCTGAGCTCCCCACTCTCCGTTCAGACTCGAGGCTCGCAGCAAGCTCATCGCCAGTATGTTCGCCCGCACGCCCGTCAAGACCGTGGCCGCCGTCGCGCAGGCCACGCGCAGCATGTCTGCGTCCGCCAAGGTGTGGATCAACAAGGACACCAAGGTCATCTGCCAGGGCTTCACTGGCAAGCAGGTACCGTAGAACGCAAAAAGATCCTGTCGGACAAAAATCATTGAGTTGAATAGACGTTGACGCGTTTTTTTCCGGTGGTTTCTTCGATTGCAGGGCACGTTCCACTCGCAGCAGGCTATTGAGTACGGCACCAACATGGTGGGCGGTGTGACCCCCAAGAAGGGCGGCTCCACGCACCTGGGTCTTCCCGTGTTCAACACGGTGGCTGAGGCTAAGAAGGAGACGGGCGCTGACGCCTCCGTCATCTACGTGCCGCCTCCGTTCTGCGCTGCTTCCATCATTGAGGCCATCGAGGCTGAAATCCCCCTCGTCGTGGCTATTACGGAGGGCATCCCGCAGCAGGACATGGTCAAGGTCAAGTGGCACCTGCGCAACCAGAGCACCACGCGTCTCATTGGCCCCAACTGCCCCGGTATCATTAAGCCCGGTGAGTGCAAGATGGGCATTATGCCCGGATACATCCACCAGAAGGGTAAGGTCGGCATTGTGTCGCGCTCCGGCACCCTGACGTACGAGGCTGTGGCTCAGACTACGGCTCTGGGTCTCGGCCAGTCCACTGTTATTGGCATTGGTGGTGACCCGTTCAACGGCACCAACTTCATTGACTGCCTGGAGCGCTTCACCAACGACCCGGAGACTGAGGGCATCATTATGGTGGGCGAGATCGGCGGGTCCGCCGAGGAGGAGGCTGCTGAGTGGCTCATGGCCCACGGTGACCCCAACAAGCCCGTGGTGAGCTTCATTGCCGGCACGACGGCTCCTCCCGGACGTCGTATGGGCCACGCTGGCGCTATTGTGTCGGGCGGCAAGGGCACGGCTGCGGGCAAGTTCGCCGCTCTCGAGGCTGCTGGTGTCGCTGTGACGCGATCGCCTGCTCGTCTTGGTGTGACGCTGTACGAGGAGATGCAGAAGCGCGCTTAAATTGCCTGTGCAATAACGGAAGTAGGCAGCGATGCACGGCTGCGACACAAAGGAGAGCAAGCGACACACCCAGCCACTTGGTAGCTGGAAAAGGTAGAGTTCGCTTGCCATTCTGCGTTGGCGACGGAGTGCTTGCGTCTGATCCGATTTAGTCACGTTAAACTACAAACAAGAGCATGAAAAACTCAACGCGATAGGCAGCGTATAGTGTACTTTGTTCATAATGACACCAGGTGCATCACAGCTGGACGTCTTGATACATCCACTTGTCATTCTGGAGTTGCTGCGCTTTGCCTCGAAGCTGCGTGAGCGTCTCCTCTAGTAGCGCTGCAGGCGACAGAAACAATCACGTCAGTCACGACTGCGCACGGCGATGCCGAGCGCAGTTCCCACCTTTGTTCAGATCACGGACCGCTTCCTCCTTTGCCTTTCGCTTCTTCTCGGTCAGCAGCAAGTCCTGACATACTGCCAGAGCGGTGACATTAAGTTAAAACTGCGCTAGAAGCTTGAGCAAAAGCTCACGTACTGCTGGCGCTGCCGGCGGGGAGCAAAGCGCTAGACGTGCCCGCCGTATTCCATCGACAGCTCATTGTTACGGTTGTCGACTTCAAAAATGACAAAAAGAGATATTTTAAAATTTTATTTTGTTGTTTTTATTACTTTAAAAAGCTTTTCCTTTACAATTGGTTTTTAATTTTAAATCATAAATGTTATTATAAATAATTGTTTTAAAGATAGATTTCTTAACTAACAAATTTTCTATTTTTCATTAGCAATAATAAAATAAAAAAAATTATCTGCAAACTATTTAAAGTACATGGTTAAGAAAATGAGAACAATGAAAATATTATAAGAAAGAAAGAAAGAAAGAAAGAAAGAAAGAAAGAGGAAAAAAAGAGAGAGGCCAGTTGGTAGAGACTCAACCAGCCAAAAACATCACATCATTCTCATTTTCGGTGATACAATTAGCTAATTTTTTTGGCTCTCGGAATATATTCGACGGCCATCCAGCACTTCTGTGACGGGGTCACACAGCACCTTGTGCAGAGGAAGTTTATTTCCTCTAGAGTATACAAACTCTAAGTGAACGACCGTTCACGTGTCCCTGGTCTGAAGGGGAC